AGAAATGAAAACGTATGTCTACACAAAAACATGCAACAAATTTCATAGCAGCATTCTTCATCATAGCTCACAAGTGAAAGCAACCCAATGTCTATCAACTGAGAAATGAATGAATAAAACGTGTGTTTTTTCCACACAGTGGGCTATTAATGTGTCATAAAAAAGAAATGACATGCTGATCCAGGTTACAACATGTATGAACCATGAAAAGGCCATATATTGTATGATTCCATTTATCTGAAATGTCCAGAATTGACAAGTCCATAAGGAGAGGAGATTAGTGGTTGGGAGGGGCCTGTGGGGGGAAATGCGGATGGCTACTAGTGGATACCGACTTTCTTTTTGTGGTGATGAAAATGTTCTCAAACCAGGTAGCAGGGAAGGTCCCCAAACTTTGTTAATATACCACTTAAAAGTGTACACACTTTATGAGTGTGAAATTTATGGTATGTGAATTATATATAAATTAAAAATTCAAAAAGAGGTGTTAAAATGACCCTTTAAAAATTCAAGTTTTGTCTTTAAGTTTGATTTGGATAGGAGAAGAAAGTCCTACATACATATTTCTGTTTACTTGAAAAAAAAAATATTACCTATCTTTATGACCCCGTCCTTTTCCTCCATCTCTTCCCCAAACCTTCTACCCACTTGCTTCCACGCAGACCTATTTTTTAAAATTTAATTTTTTATATTAAATAAATTAGAGGTATGGTACCGTAGTTGACGCCTGTAATCCCAGAACTTTGGGAGGCCGAGGCGGACGGATCACCTGAGGTCAGGATTTCAAGACTAGTCTGGCCAACATGGTGAAACCTTGTCTTTACTAAAAATACAAAATTACCCAGGTGTGGTGGCGCATGCCTGTAATCCCAGCTACTCGGGAGGCTAAGGCAGGAGACTCGCTTGAACCCGGGAGGCAGAGATTGTAGCGAGCTGAGATCGTGCCACTGCACTCTAGCCTGGGCAACAGAGCGCGACTCTCTCTCAAAAAAAAAAAAAAAAAGGCTGGGCGCGGTGGCTCAAGCCTGTAATCCCAGCACTTTGGGAGGCCGAGACGGGCGGATCACGAGGTCAGGAGATCGAGACCATCCTGGCTAACAC